AAGGCCTTAGGAATGGACCTCAACAGATGGGAAACCTTGACGTCTGAGAGTTTAGCCTGGAGGCAGGCGGTGCATCATAGCCTCTTGCATTTTGAAGAGACCCTTGTTCAGCATGCCAAGAGGCAGTCCTGAAACCAGCAAAATCAGGGAGCTGGACAGGGGCCAGACTGTATTCGTGTTCAGTGTGGAAGGGATTGTCACTCTTGAATTGGCCTTCTCAGCCACATTAGACGCTGTTCCAAGTCCTCCATATAGAGCACGTTACCATAGTCTCTCAAGACTGAAGGATGCCTAATCTAAATCAGCCCTCCTAGTCACAATATTTAGCCCAGCCCAACCTTTCTCACCATATAGACAAGCCCTCAGTCTTTTAGGAGTGTGGGTGGTTGAGATTGGATTGTTGTTGTTGTTGTTGCTGCTGCTGCTGCTGTTGTTGTTCAGAAACACCAGGCACAGTCATACTTATAAAAAACATTATCTGGTATTATATAACGGATACAGGTTTTTACCAAAAACCTAAGCATCTGTTGAATATTGCAGTATCTATGCTGTTCTTAATATTGCTGTTTTTTGTAACTATGATGATGTTATTTATGAAAAATGCAACTGTTTGTGTAAAATTTCTTGAAAGCCCAGATGATGATGGGGTTCACTGAGGTATGTTTCATCCACAAGTGAGATATTTTAATTGCGAAGTCTCTGTGTTTTGTTAGTTTTTCCAATTCTTTATCTTCAACTCTGGGACCCCCTGGAATTGCAATGTCAATGATCCAGACATTTCTTTATTCTATTACTAGTATGTCTGATATGTTATGTTCAAGGTGTCTATCAGTTTGGATTTGGAAATACCAAGATCTTGACCTTGTCATTTTCTGACACCTTCTCCACCTGATGTTCCCATGAGTTTTTGGAGGCTGGCAAATTATATTTTTTTGCATAAAGACCAGTGCACTAATTTTGTCACTCTATAAGTCTAATTTTATAATCTGTTTTTGTAAGCTTTGGACATTCACAGATGTGGTGTGGCACAGTTTCACCTTTTTCTTAGTAGAGTCGACGTTTGCTTTTAGCACTAATTTCTTGAATCTTGGCTTTCATCACATTAGTTTGGAGTGCTTTTTCTTGTGCAGCAAAAATCAAGCCTTCAGTTTCTTTCTTAATGGTCCCCAGTTTTAGCCATGTCCGTGTGCGGAGGTATACGAATACCCCCGTCTCTAATTTCCACCATTCCATTTTGATTTTAAGATTTTCCAGTTGTTGTTGGGTGGTGTCTCCAGTTTCTCTTGATCTACTATCACATTGCTGCATTTGTCCCATTACTACATGAGCACCAGAGAAAGAACAGCAAGTAGGAGTACATGTTGTGTGTTCAGCTACAAGATGCAATGGCACTGCTGAATAAAGAAGCAAAGACAGAGTGGCAAGATTTTCATGCCTTTTAAAGAAGGAGGAAGATGTGGCTGGGCAAATCTCATGAACCTCTTTCTCTACAGAAAAAAACAAGATCCACCCTCTGCCCCAATCTTAATTTTGAAATTAAACTGACCTTCCAGGACAGTTGCCTGCACAAAACAGTGTATAAAATAATTGAACGTAAAAGCATATAAACCCATCCTATTGGAATCAACATTACACATTAAAATTACCAGTAAAACATCACTAAGACAAACAATTCATTAAACACAAGCAAAATTAATGTTTTCCTATTATTCATTGATGGCAAGGTTGTGGTGGGGGGGAAAAGGGAAGTTTTTCTGGGGAAAAAACCCAGTTTGTCCTTGGTTCACAAAATGGGGACTAAAGGAAGAAAAATAGGCCAAGGCTATATAGCCTATCTCCTATTGTATGAGGCACAGTAGGGAATCTAACTCCCATACTCTGGTTCCACAGCCAGATATCAGAGCCACTAAGTTATCTAGGCCAGGTGGAGGTGGATTCATGCTTACTGAGAACTTTAAGAATAAACCAAGGTTCTAAATTATGAATTGTTTAATCTTCCTTAGTAAAAATGTTGTCTTAACTGCTTTGCTCTGAAATTACTTAATATTATTTAATTCATTCTCGTTTGTGTGTGGGGTGTGGTTTTTTTTTGTGATTCTTCACACATTGCTTTTTTTCTTGGCTTTTGGCATGTGTGATCACCTACCTCAATCCAAAGAGGCAGTGGTGGGCATGTCCTAGGGTTAAATTGGCAATTGGGCTTTAAAATGTAAGTGACATAGCACCGTGCTGACATTGTGAAACTACAGTGCTTATCTGACATAGTCTAGTCAGATAATACATATTTTTAAAAATTGTCCAGAGGAGCGATAAGAGGCTTGAAGGGCTGTTCCTGCTGTACTGATGTACTGTGCCCACTGAATGGAAAGACTCCTGCCAATGCATACCATCCCTCCTCTGCACAGTTTTTTAAAAAGATTATCTTCATCTGATGCAGTACTCTACCAGATAAGCGCTGCAGTTTGGGCAATAATATCTTGTATATGAGGGATGTAGTACTTCGGATGAGAGCAGTAATTTCCAAAAACTATACCAGATCACACTTGTCTGCCATGAGAAATAGGCTTAATTCTAACACTAAAGCTAAAACTACCTGGTTGGCTCTCTACGCATTGCTGACGCTACCTAAACTTGTAATGACTGCAACCTCTTTCTCACTCACTCTCTGAAAAACAGCAGGAGAATGGAAAGAGAGAGGGGCAGACTGAGCTGTCTATTCACTTTTGCATATGAATTCAGCATTGTATCACCTGTTAAATTTTAAAAAAGGGAAGCAAAGAGACAACGAATGGAGAAGGGTGAAAGGAAGGGGTGGGAAATGAGGTCAGTGTTAACAGGATAGAAGGGATCCAGGTGAAAATTGTACTGACTGGAAGGTGCTATGTGGACTCTTGAAATGGTGATAATTAATCCCTTCCATGTAAATGACTGCAATGATTTCAGGAGCAGAAACTGGTATTAAAAAACCTTCAGATCAACCCAAATGCATGTGGGATAACCCCCCTGTGTAGTCATACCATGAGCCATTCAATAATAACTCTTTCAACCACAACTATACAGAGAAACTCTGCTCTTTGCTAAGCACTCCTTCAATTTTAGAAGTGACATTTACTTGCCTGGTCTCCTGTTACAGCAGAAGAAGTCAAGAGTATAGGAGTGAGTGGCTGTGAGATAAATATAGCTTTTCAAGCCTTCTTGCACTTTCTTAGACAAGGTCATATAAATCTGATATCTTTTTTAAATTATAAGCTTGTTTTTAATAGGCAGTACTTACTGAGTACTAGATACTATCATTCTTTAATCTGAACTACTTAGATGAACTAATAAAATATCTAGGGTGTAAATTTATCTGCAGAGTGCTGGATTTAAAAAAATGTGTAGTCTTTATCTTAGAGCTACAGCTATGAAAATTCAAGAAGATGAGGCATTCAAATGGCCAAAGTGACACCAGGACACATCTTTGTCAGTTTTTAAGCCAGTCTGAATGCCTTAAAGTATTCTGGGAATTGTAGTTTGGGAGGTGAATGGGATTTCTTTGAAGGGTCCCCCTTGGCTGGGTACCAAAAGCTTAAGTGTATGGAAAGATACTGTTAATACCTTGATTTGAAAAGAATGGAAAAAGTACTTCAATGCATTTACTAGGAACCTCGATGGAAAATGTAATTACCCAGTCATAGTCATATCATCGTTGTGATGCTTTAGTTTGAAAAACATGAATGGGACAGGCTTTCTCCTGGGCTAAACCAACAGTTGCTGATTTGGTGACGTAGGTTTGTCAACTCTGCTACATGTAGGCCAATTTTTTTTTACTCCAGGATTCTCAGAGAGCCACAAAAGTTTGGAAAAACAAAACAAAACCTCAGAAGCATCAGAAAGTCCACTTCCAGTTCTAAAAATCAGTGTTTCTTAGTTTATAAACACTACAGGGGAAGTGTTAAAAGGAAGCTTCCAGGAGCCGCAGTTCCTTCCTTCCTGAGAATTTGCCAATTCCTGATGCAGAATAACTATTAAACTAGCAGTTGCCGTAGCTGAACTGCTGTCCTTCACCAGGGGTACATAAACATGTCAGCACTGAGGACCACATCTTGTTTCATCTGGAAGGCTGGGAACTAAACATGCACTCATGGCAAACAGCATGCACATACGATATCTTACATGCATACATGTAAACACACTTCCACTTTTACACCTAGAGTGCTTGTATGCTCCCTGCAATCTCTACTGAGAATCTTGTTTAACCACTGCTACTTACAGTAAGTAAATTTAATATAAATGTCTGAAACCAAGAAACAATATTTTACAGTACTGTATCTCCCTGAGCCCAGCTAATTAGAATTCTAAGATTGCTGTGGGTAAAAGTGGGGCCCCATCACCTTTGGGGGGCACATAGGGAGGAGCAGAGAGCTGCATATAATGCAGGGCCACCTGCTGGGTGCCCATCTAAGTCATCTGGTGCAACTGCTACAAAATTTGCCTGGAACAGATTGGGATCTATTTATGAAAAAGTCTTTGATCTTACAAATTCTTTGCAATGGAGGAAAAAATAATTAAAAAGCTAGTCACGCTGTATTATTCTAGCTCAGGCTGGAAGTTTAAGATGGCCCAGCTGATTGCAGTAATCTATTTGTTCAGATTTAAGTATCACCTTCCCCCAAAGATATAAAGTAAGGAGCTGAGTTTCAAGGACTTATATACAAAATAGAAACAAAAAATATTAATGCTAAATGTTGCCTAATATTAGGTGACTCCTTACTATTATATATTGTTCCATTGCTTCATTACTACATAACATATACTTGAAATAAGCAGATGGATATTTAAGCAATATTTAAGATGCGCTTGCTGCATCTTAAATATTACTTTGTGGCACAGAAAGGAAGTAAAATTTCAATATTCTCTCATGGCTTTATATTTCAGAAGCTGAGCTTCAGGAAAACTGTGAAGACAACAGAGCACAAATATAATTTATTCCTGGAAACCAATTATTTACAATGTAGAAAATGAAGTGGATCCCTGCAACCTGCACAAACCAATCGTATATGGAATACACAGCAGCAGGATTATGGAAACAAAAATGATCATTGGTAGGCAGAAGTTTCAGAGGGGAGATTCAGAATCTGCTCTTTGTAAAGACATAACATTGCAACCACAGAGTGCTCTAGATCAAAATGACATGTGCAACAATGATCTGAAATGTTCCCAGAAAGGTCTAGGAACACAAAAATGGTAACGTTACTTACATCTGAAGGTCTCCCCCTACCAAAACAAAAACAACATCAACAACAAAAACCCAGGGAGGCAAAAATGATTTATGTTACAGAAAGGGTAGCTGGAGCAAAGAAAATCACATGCAGATTCTCTGCTCAAAAATGGTGAGATAAATCAAGTTATTTACATATCAAGAGGGTAGTCCAAAACTGAAACATTTCTGTGAGAATTGGTAGTATGCCTTTTTTCCTACCTATGACAACTCAAGATAAGATGGAATAAACACAGTTGTATAGCCATTCTTCCTTGTCATTCAGTGGCATCACATGGTGACAGATCTAAATGTAAAGCACAGAAAAAAAGAATCAACTATTTATGTCTATCATGATTCTTACAGATTAGGCTGCACCTAGCTTTCCAAATTGTCTAATATATATGAATCATAATATTGTTGTCTCATAATGTTAAAACCTTGCCTAATTTTTAAAATTTTACTTCCGTAACTTTCTTCTTTCATGCATTTCTTTTTAGATTTTTACCTTAAAAAAAGAGAATGTCTTGCATTTTTTAAATAAACAGCTTTTCCAGCAGAGCAGAATATAAATATTATAAATGAAAACGCTGGGGAGTTGGTTCAGAAATCCATCTCTCCCATTACTACCCATTTGTCTCTGTAAGCTTGAAAAACACAATCACTCAAGAGTACATTATAAAAATACTGAAATACATCTGAACAGCTACTGTGTGTTAAATGACAAACTGTGTGTCATATGATGCGCTAACCCCTATGCATATGTATTTACATGTATTTCTGTAGAAACAAAAGGCATTCATTCTTTGACTGTGCAGAGATGAGAAAACAGCTAAACTTTGATGCTAGTACACAACTACTAATTTGCCCTAAAACACTGCAAAAGGAACTAATTTTTAATGAACCACTTTAAACAGATTTAGTATATAATATGTTTGCTCAGGATATTTAAAACTGTGTTGTAAGCTCTTTCCTGGATCCTGGCAGGTCAAAAAGCAGACTATAAGTAGGTAAACAAATCAGTTACCATCATGGATTTAGGTGCCACTTCAACAGCAAAAGCATCAAGCCCTCTGCTATTCACACAGTTCTTATTTTTCTCAATGTTCACGTGAATGATCGTTTTGCTTTCAGACTGTTAAGAGAAAAACAACATTAGCACCAGTCACTGAGATTTATATTCGACAGAACTTAACAGCAACACTCCATTAAAAAGCGAGATCAGCAAGAGATCACATAATGATGGTTTCTTGGAAAAAGTCACGAACCTAGCATCACTTGCAAAAATGTCACTGCAGAAACTTAAGGATTCACCTCTAAACTCAGTCTGAAACACAGGACCATTTCATCCCTTCAATGTGAGTTTAGTCTCTTCCCTCTTCTTATCTCTAACTTTGAAGAGCAATAGCACATATCATGTACGTGAGAAAGTAGCTCAACTAAGTAACAATTAAAATTGTACTTGCCATCAGGAGGTATCTTTTGTGCTGCCACCATGCGCCCCACCCAGATTCCTCCAAATTCCCTTTGATACCTAACGCCTGGCTAAGTACTAGAAGCCCAAGTCAACCAGTAGTTGTTGCGGCTCCTGTGGGATCAGCAAGCCTAGTGACTTTTCCTCCTTCACAGCTAACACCAGCGCTGCAAAGAACAACAGCCCTGCAAAGAAGAACAAATCTCAGCATGCAAACCCAGATGGCCAAATCAGCCCAGGCTAGATCAGGCTAGATTGTGCTAAGCAGGTTGCTCTGAGGTGCAATATGTTTATTTGGGATGATCCTTGCATCCATGTGCAAGGAGGCAGTGGTTTTGAGGTGGGAAACTACATCATACCTCAAGCAAACGTATTTGCTTGAGTAGAGTAGACCCGTGGTCTAGATGGGCAGGATAAAAATCTAATAAAATAAAATAAAATTTTGCCCTTCCTTCCTTCCTTTAAAGCAAAATATTTTTTTTAAAAAAAGACCTCTGTCCTTTTTGGGGGAACAGGAGGAAGCTTTCATTTAAACAAATATTTCTCAGTGGCATAGCACTTTTTTATTTGGCTTACCCACCCAAATCACCCCCCCCCAAATGTGTGTAGCTGAGGAGGCTACATGTGCAGCCCTGGGCAAGCTGTGCAGTCCCAGAGTGCCACCAGAAGGAAGGACTGGTAGAACAATTCTGAGTATTGTATATTTTAAAAACTCTATGAGGATCACTATACACTGGAAACACGCTGATGGCGCATACTCATTCAAATGTTATTGCTGCACAGACACACTCTCCAAAGTTGTGTTTGCACAATCAGTAGATAAACAGGCCAACCGCTTCCTCCCCATGGCCAATCACTAAGTAAAAGTGAGCTAATTTGCAACTTACAAAGGTGTGAAAAGCATAAGGGGATAATCAGATGCCCTTTACTGCTTAAGTCAGCTTTGTTTTTAATTGCAGTGCTCCCTATCTGTTGTGGGGTTTCTCTCTCACACAGACAATAGAATCCTCACTTCATGTCTTTCAAGGAGTCAACTACAAAGTAGCTGTAATGTAAGAACCAGCTTTATATATTTATGTGCAACTGAAGAACATCTCAGGGCCCAGAGTATGTGCAAACCTAGCGGTACTTAATACACTCTTTAACAATACCCTCTCTCCAACACCTCAATTTTTTTTGTTTCTAAACAGTACAGCAACATTAAAGTGCAGATGGAGATGAATATGAATCCAAGCAGGCTTTATATACCAGCCAAAATTAAGATGAGTTGGTGCAAAGAGAATAAAAATGAGAAAACAGAAAAGCTTCTCACAATGTAATTTCATTACTGCTATTCTATTTCAAGATTTTCTGCAAATATCTTTCACAGCAACGGATGTACAGCTCAAGACTGCACATGTCTATTCAGATGTAACCTCAATCAAGTTCAATGGTAAGTATCTAAGTAACCTGAATATAAGATAATACCGTTAAATGCTTTAAAAAGTGATGAACCAAAGATCAGAGCACTGACAACAGCAAATAAAGGGGTAACAGTTCTTTTAAGAAAAAATATGGATACCAAAATCTCTGATCCTTGATGTTGTGTGTTATGCTAGTGGTGTCAAGTTGGAAAAGACCTATAGTGATCCTGATAAAGACTTTTGAGGTGAGTGAGATATTTAAGTAGTGATTTAAATACTACTTTTTAAGCCACACTCCCACAGTGAATATCTGTGGCTGAGCAGGGGTTCAAACCCAGGTTTCCTGAGTCTTAGTCTTCTTTTATAAATAATATGAGGAAAAAAGTTTGCTTAACGCAATATGGATGGGCTTGAACAAATACAGTGGTGCCTTGCTTAGCGATCGCTCCGTTGAGCGATGAAATCGCTTAGCGATGGGGTTTTGGCCATCGCCAGAGCGATTGCTTAGCGATGGCCCTATGGGGAAAAAGCGCTTTGCGATGATCATGGGGAAGCGATCATCGCAAAGCCCCCATTTTCGGCCAGCTGATCGGCGGTTCCAAAATGGCCACTAGAAAAACAAAATGGCCGCCCCGCTGTTTTGCCTCGCTTTAAAGGCACCGAAAATGGCCGCCCCATGGAGGATCTTCGCATGTCAGTTTTGAAGCCCACAGGAACGCATTAAACACGTTTTATTGTGCTTCTATGGGCTTTTTTATTCCGTTTAGCGATGAAATCGCTTAGCAATGTTTTTCCTGGAACGGATTAACGTCGCTAAGTGAGGCACCACTGTACTTAAGAGTACATTGAGAAGTAGCAAATTGCTGATTTTCTGGCCTGACTATTCCATTGTTCACTTGGAACAGAATTTGCCGACTATGAAATGTTTCACCAATTGGAATACTGAAAATATGAACATTTGTCATAAGAAGAAAAAACTAGATGCATATAGGATCTAGATGCATATAATCTAGTATGATCACTTTTTCTATTACCTGAAGTTAGTTGGGAAGAAGAAATGAATAGTTCCAATTAGGTTGATTCCCATGATCCATTTGAGGACTCACATTTAAAAACCTCCTTTTTAAATCTAGTTTAATTTCTTGTGAGTCAGAACCCAGAGCAGCAGCATGTTCACAGTCATCACAGTAAGAAAAGAAAGACTATTTCAGGCTTATAAGAAATACAGGCACCTCGTGATCAACTACAATTACTGGGATTTATCAGGACAAGGAAGTAATTTCTGGAATTTATATGGGGAGGGATCTATTTACTTTTAATACAAAGCCAACAACACACCGTGGATGAGATAGCAATATTATGCACAGAATATTTATAGGAATAAACAATAAATATTATACAAACGACTTCAGAGTTTGATCCACGCTGCTCAGGTACTATAACTGGAGTGAATTTTAAAGGTATGATTTTCAAGGACAGAAGTGCTTAATACTGTATATGCAGGCAATATGAACTTCAAGAATAATTAGGCCTGATGAATATGCGAATTACAGTATATAGTTCTCTGTCTTTGTTTACTCAGAACTTTCTGTTATATCAACTTGTACTTTAAGCAATTTATGTCAAGATCCCTTGAACCGGAAGGTCTTGGTCTGGCACTGATAACTTAATCAAGTAGTAAAAAAACCCCTAAAACTATTTTTTGTATGTCAAAAGTTTTCAGAATGGTTCTTCCCATTATCTATATTACATAATACCTTGTTTTCAATAACAGCTGTTATCCGTGTATCACTTTTATAGGTATGGATATTTAGCTGTTCCCTATGATCCATTGGCTTAGCATCTCCTTTATTAATCACACTCATACAGATGGCATTCTTAAGCTGCTCTCCACCAGTTTCCAGACAAATTGGTTTAATTCTGGGCTTGCACTTTTCAGCGAATACATGAATAGAAAAAGGACATGCCTGCAGGGAAAGAATAGAAGAATAATTCATTATTTCCATCATTTAGCTATTGTTGCTTACAATTACCTATTGCTCTCCTGTGCTTTTGTTTGTTACTGCAAATAGAATCATAGAATCATAGAATCACAGAGTTGGAAGAGACCACAGGGGCCATTGAGTCCAACCCCCTGCCATGCAGGAACTCCATCAAAGCACTCCCAACAGATGGTCATCCAACCTCTGCTTAAAAACCTCCAAAGAAGGGGACTCCACCACACTCCGAGGCAGCATATTCCACTGCCAACCAGCTCTGACTGCCAGGAACGTCTTCCCGAGATTCAGGTGGAATCTCTTTTCCTGTAGTTTTAAACCATTGCTCCTTGTCCTAGTGTCCGGAGCCGTGGAAAACAAACCTGTCCCTTCCTTGACATGACATCCCTTCAAATATTTAAACATGGCTATCAGGTCCCCTCTTTTTGTAAGGCTAAACATTCCCAGGTCCCTGAGCCGCTCCTCATAGGACATGGCTTCCAGACGGTTGATTATTTTGGTTGCCCTCCTCTGGACACGTTCCAGGTTATCAAAATCCTTCTTGAATTAAGGTGCCCAGAACTGGACACAATACTCGAGGTGAGGTCTGACCAAAGTAGAATAGAATGGTACTATACTTCCCTTGATCTAGACACTATACTTCTATTAATAAATAAATGAACTACTTACAAATACTTTTGAGCCATCAGATAGAAATAAACAAAGTTATGATCTGCTTGATATGGTGACCCCAAATGGCAACAGACCCACACCAGCATATTTGAAAAACCCGGAAGGATCCTTTCTCCCCTCCAGTGTTAACTATGGTGTTAACATCCAATACATAATGCTATGCCACAGGTTACTCAACTCAGGGGCAGAAGATAAGAGACTCTGATTCTACCCTGACACACACACACCCCAATCATGAGTTAATGATTATGTGCTCCTAGATTTGAAACAGGCCTTTCGTCTCATTTCAGAGTGACAACCAGGGACTGCCTCAATCAGTGGTTGGGAAATTGCTTTTGAAAAGTTATAAGCCACAGTTTTGGTTCAAAGACCCCTAAATGTAATTATGTATTATCACGGCCATCAATTTAAAGTGAATATTTACTTTGCTGTTTCTCATAAGTAACTAAAATAATCTATATGCTGTAAACTACTACGTATATTGTGGTACAAACTGTGATATGGTTTTTCCGGAAAAGTAAGTAAAATGCTTTAAATCAGTGGTCCCCAACCTTTTCTAAACCGCGGACTGGTTGGGTCTGTGGGTGGGCGGGCAGGGCACCTGTGCGTGCATGCAGGTGGGCAGGGCATCCGTGCGCAGATGCATGGGTGGGCAGGGCACCCATGTGTGCATGTGGGTGGGGGCCATGCATGCGTGTGTGTATAGGGGGCATATGTGTGGGGGACTCTGCAGCCTGGTCCTGCCAAGGCCACGGCCCGTTTACCCAGGGGTTGGCGACCCCTGCTCTAAATAACACTATCTGATTTAGTATGCTTGATTTGTGTTTATTCCCCTCAACAAACACACCAAAAACTCATATTTAGTAAACAGGAGAACTAACAATGTAACCCATGTCAGTTTCACTTGACATATAAATATGTCAAAAGTTTTACCATTTCTTACCTATGGGGAAATTAAATTAACCTGAAAGTATAGTTTAAGTGTTACATACAAACACATTAAAGCTTCATGTGTAAATTATTTTATTGGAAGAATTGTAGAAACATTATTTATTTATTTATTTATTTATTTATTTATTTAATTTATATGCCGCCCACACTACCCAAAGGTCTCTAATTTCTCTTTAGCCAAAATGACTATACCTGGGACAACAAAATATTTTAGGATGCATGCCCAAATGATACCTGGTACATCTTATGTCAATAATTTTACTTCCTTTTGCTGAGTTATAACTGTAGCACTTTCATTTTTACTCACTCTCTGCATTGCTTATTGCAGAGGTCGTCAACCCCCAGTCTGCAGTCCGTGGCCTGAGCCTGACCGGGCTGCAGAGACAGACCTCCTGTCCCCCCGCACGCACTCACCTCCCGACAGCTGCTTTGTGTGTGTGTGTGCACGTGCACCAGCATCGTCACGAGTGCTCCCCCACCCCTGCATGAATGCACCCAAGCACCCGTGCGAAGTGGGTGGACACGCATGTAGACAGGCATGTAGGCGCTCCTACGCATGCATGAAAGGGTGGGGGAGCGCTCACGCTGGCGCTGACAGGTGCACGCTCCTCCATCACTTTGTGCACGTGCCCGAGAAAGACAGTGCACCTGCGTGATCACGGGCCTTCCTTAGCCGGCCCACATTCCCAAAATGGTTGGGGACTGCTGGCTTATTGGTCCCATTTCCCATTGAAAAAGTCTAATTCAGAACAACTAGTTGAACCTTTTGTTACAGTGGGTCATTTTAAGGAGAAAGGAAGGTTAAAAATATTTTGAAAGAAAGAAAGAAAGAAAGAAAGAAAGAAAGAAAGAAAGAAAGAAAGAAAGAAAGAAAGAAAGAAAGAAAGAAAGAAAGAAAGAAAGGCTAGACGTGAGTGTATGGTCATCAGGAACTTCTCACATTTTGTTTTTACTATTTGTACTTAAGACTGTTGGAGAAACAAGAGATTTTGTGAAATAGAAATGAGTTTCATTTGTTAGTCCCCTCCGCTTTTTTGTCTTGATTGAGCTGAATGCTGCTGGTGGTGGAATGTTTAAGATCCTTACAGCAATTCTGGACAACAACTGAGTCTATCCTTTCTACCATTTGAGAAGTGATATACCAATGGCGTCTTTGCTCCAAAGTTTTCTTTTGCATGGTATTTGGCCATATTACTCCTAACAGATATTTAATCAATGCCAAGGACATTATTGACTACATCCATAACTGTATCAAAAGCAGAATAGATATTTAATCAATGCCAAGGACATTATTAACTACATCCATAACTGTGTCAAAATTGAGGATACAAGTTTGCTGAAAGATTAACTGGATGAGTGCAGAACTCAGATCTATTAGCAAACATTTGTTTTGCTGCTTTTTCTAATAGAGGTGAGAAGGCAAAAGTTCAGCTAAACTTTCAGCTGTCTGAATATCTGAGGAATGTTTGGTGTGCTTCTTTCAAGTTTCTTGATAGACACTGAACCTGGTAGCAACAAACTGTTCTTTTTAAATTCAAACTCAGAACACATTGTTGTCAAATTTCTGCTTCCAAATGTATACAGAAATAACCTCAGATACAGCATCACTGATTTGCACACACTTGTGTGCAACAAACTGTTTAAACCAGGGGTCTCAAACATGCGGCCTGGGGGCCATTTGCGGCCCGCCAGATAATAGTTTGCGGCCCCCGCCTTGCCTCCCCCCGAAGCGCCCACGCGTCCTCTGCTGTCAAGAGTCAAAAGAAGCCTCGACTCCCTCGCCGGCTCTCTCTCAAGACAGCGCCTCTTGCACTTTCCAACCAGAACTGCAGCCTGCCAGCCAGCCCGCCTGGCTAAGGAAACTCGTGGGCAGCTTCCTCAGGCTCTTGCTCCACTTGGCGGAAAATCTGATGCGGCCCAGCCTCACCCTGACTCTGCCTCCAGCGGCCCCCAGGTAAATTGAGTTTGAGACCCCTGGTTTAAACATTACTAGTTCATTTTCCTTTCCCTGCTTCTCCTTCCATAATTTCTTTAGATTCCAATTCACAATATGATTGCTGAATGCCTTCACAATTGCCTTACAATTTATCAATATTGACTTTATTTTATTTATTCTTAATAATACTTTGTCAAATGATTCAGCCCATGAATAAGACATCCAAATATTATTAAATTGTTATACTTTGCCCATAATACTCGCCATTCAGCTTTCATGTCCCTTGCATTGCTTATTACAAGGACTTACACTCTAGAGCACAGGTCTCTAAAGTATGGCCTGCGGGCCACATCCAGCCTGCCTGGCCTTTTTATCCAGACCGTGTGTGCGTACAGGAGTGTGTGCGTGTGTGTGGGCAAATGTGCAGGCAGGCGGGTGGGAGTGTGGGCGGGCGGGAGTGAGTGTGTGTGGGCAGCAGCGCGTGCGCACATGAACACACAACCATTCCTTCAGTCCTCAAAATTTCAAAAATATATGTGGCACTTTGTGTGAACAGTTTGGAGACCCCTCCTCTAGAGGGACCTACATTTTCAGTCTCTTTATTCAGTAGATTAACTATGTTTTCACTTGTATGACAAGGTTTGGTAAGTAACAGCTTATTGGTATAGGTGTACCAAACATAATGTCCATTAAAGGCCTTTGCCATATTTCTGTCCAGCCATTTGCCATGAACATCAGCGCCTTTGCTCAGCAAATCTTTAGAACAAACAGCTGTTTATCTCTTTGGTAGAAGACATTATTGGAGTAAAAACAATCACCAAAATACCAACTGATCATCTACTTCCTTTCTGGAACTGCAGAAGAGTTTTTTGATTCCATTCCATTAATATTTCCCTCTTACTGTTCCTATTTGGGTAACAGATGCTATGTATGTATTCACTTTGGACACAAACATCCCTTATGAGCAATTCATCATACACCCACTGATGATTAAATAATTTGCTTATTGACTTAAGTGCAAAGTCTGAAATGCTTGCACTTTGTTGGATGAATCAAAGATATGTGCAGAGAATATTATAACCAAACATAATGGCTATTAATTTTTATGGTCTGATTATCTATCATACCTCATTTAATTCCAGTGCTTTATTGTAGCCTATTGATTGCAAAGTCATCCAGAGGCTACTAAGATCCCCACTTCGTTCGCTGGCTTCCATGAAGTTCAGATCCACAAATCCTTGTTTTGTTAGTTCACTGTTCTTTGTATCAAAGTTCTCTATTTAATAAGAAAGCACAATAGATATATTCATAGGTTACAATGTAAACTACAAATAGTGTCTTTAGGAAAAACAAATACTGGCTTTAGCAGCTGGCCCTTCTCATTTTTTTTGTCTTACTTTTGCCTGCCACTCTTGCCTCTTCCAAACTCTTGTTAATAATCAAAATATAAATTATAAACTCTATTTGCAAGGGCCTTGTCCTTCCAATTTGTGAAACTCTTCAAAACATCTGCACGTCAACCGTAGTGTATAAACTGTAGTAGTTTTATAATAATGGCAGCATTTGATTTTGCATCTTCACGGCTCAAAAATTATATTACAAAAACTAATCCTTTAATAAGCTTACACAGAATAGGCAGGTTTATATGCCTCAACTGAGGACTTGCAACAATCCAGTTTATTTTTATGGTGTGACAGAAGAAAAACTCTCAGCATTCAAGAAGCCGAATATTAAGCAATATTCTCCTGAAATTATTGGAGACAATGGGCGGACATTTAGAGAAAAGTTGTGCAGAGAGCAGATAATTAACATACAGTGTGACCTCAAAAGGATGTGGACAGAAGTGACAAGCTCAGAGGAATGACAAAACATCACAATTCAAGATATTTCACATTCACTATTAAACATATTAAAAATGAATGCAGAGGAACAACTTTGTGCAAAGCCTGCCAATCACAGGCACCAGGCTACTAGGAGAGCAAGGGGCATTGCTTTCTTATCTTCAATTCCCTTCCCATCCCCCCTCCATGCCCTGGCATTCATATAATGTTATGTTCATCCTTCCTGAATAGTATGCTACCAGTACCATTGCAAGAGAGTGTTCAGATCTTGTGTGATAGGTACACACATTGCTTTAGGCTACATTTAACGCTGATGGTAAGTTCTGAAGACGACCACCCTCACCCACTCCCATATTTTGGCCTGTTCAGGTTCATGAAGGCAATCAGGGTAAGAAAATTCCCATCAGCTAAGGTGGTCGTAAGGGATGCCCTTACCCAATAGGAATAATCACAGGTCATGTATCAAGGATGGCACAAATCTGGTGGAAGTCATGAGCCTTTCTTCCTAACTGGGCTACCTAGAAGGAAAAAAAATGGGAACCACCAATGCCACTGGTAAGTCAGTGGCTACTGTCTGCAGCCTCCGGAATCTTAATTTCCTCAGGGACTTCCTGAAGCTAATCTTGGCCTGTCATATAGCAAGTGGAAGGCTGAGACTGGCAGTAACCAGCTCTGCCAGGTGTTGCTGCTTCAGGATGCCTAGAATAATCTGAAGTGGTAAGCATCTACAAGCTTCTGCTGCCCCTGGCTCATGCCACAGCATGGGAAAGATCAGTGGCAGCAGAGGTTGCTACTACAGTCATGCCCCACTTAACGATTACCTCAGATAATGACGAATCCGCTTCACGACGATGTTTTTGCGATCGCAATTGTGATCGCAAAACAATGTTTTAATGGGCTTTTTTCGCTTCCCGACAATCGGTTCCCTGCTTCGGGAACCAATTCTTCACATTATGACGATCAAAACGGTTGATCGTTGGGTTTTCAAAATGGCCGCTGGCTGCTCAAAATGGCTCCCTGCTGTGTTTTTGGACGGATTCCTCGCTTTACAGGCAGCGAAAATGGCCGCCCCTATGGAGGATCTTCGCTGGACAGTGAGTTATTCAGCCCATTGGAACACGTTGAACGGTTTTCAATGTGTTTCAATTGGCTTTTTTATTTCGCTTTACATTTTTGCTCTACAGCGATTTCGATGGAACGAATTAACGTTGTTAAGCGAGGCACCACTATAATGTTCTCTATGTAGGGCTCCCCTCATAGTCAGTACAGAAACTTCAGCAGGTCCAAAATACAGCTGCCAGACTGATCACGGGTATCAGCAGATATAAACACATATTGTATTCCAAGTCTTGGCACAGCTTCATTAACTCTCTGTCTGTTTCCATTCCCAATTCAAGGTGCTGATCATGACCTATGAAGCCCTTAATGGTTTAGGACCCCAATCCTTGTCCAAATGTCTCTCCCCCAAAACAGCTACCTGCCCCACCTGCTCCTTGCAGTCCTTGATGCTAAAAATGATGAAACCTAAGGAGGCCAAAAGAGGTAACACCAGGAACTTCACCTTCTCAGTTGTGGCCCCTTCCTTCTGGAATAAGCTTCCTGCAGAGGTTCATCAGTTACCATCCCTCTCAGATTTTAGGAAATTAATAAAAACAAGATTTATTTAAAGCTGCCTTTTATTAACGCTTTTGTTTTAAATTTGTTTACTTCTATTTAATGCAGATTTTTAAGCTGGCAGAGTTTTATTTAATTTAATTGATTTTGTAATTTTGTATTTTTAATTTTAATGTGATTTGACCTGTTGTGAACTGCCCAGAGAGTGTTTGCACCAATGGTTTATATAGTAAACAAGTTGAATGAATTAATGAATTAATGAATGAACCCTTCCAAGGGCCTGAAGAACATGATTTGGAACTATTCAAAAATTCTGCCTGCCCTGGTTTTTTATCTCCTTTGAGACATGCTAAACAGAGAGGTTTAAATCTGTCAGTTTAGTGTGCTAAAAATGGGAGTGGAGAGGGATGTCTTGACTGCTTAATAGAGTAGAAGAAAGATACTTGTCTTCATCTCTACAGTAATGCACTGTGTATCAAAGTTTAAATTTCCCGAGCCTCGCTCATCATGATGAGAATAAACTTGCCCTGGCTCAACAGCTGATCTGATAGATACTTCTGGGAGATTAAACAGTATGTGTGGATGTGTGAGAGAAAGGGGTATGTGTTTTGCTGAGAATGGCGCATCTATGTATGTAAAAATGTTTGGGAGACAGAGACAGATGGCTGTGTAAGGGAATGATGTGCATAAGTATGGTATACAGTGGGGTCTCTACTTAAGAACGTCCCTACTTAAGAACAATCCAACTTAAGAACAGCTCCATTTGCTAAATTTTGCTTCTACTTGAGAACAGAAATCCAAGATAAGAACAGGAAAAAAAACCTTTCCTGCTCTTTTTTTAACCTTAGGTCATCTTAGGTTAAAAAAAAATTCTCCCCCTAGTGGTAGAGTGCGTATTAACCAGCTTTGCATTAGTTCCTATGGGAACTAATGCTTCCATGTACGAACGTACCTCTACATAACAAAAAAACAGCCAGAACGGATTAATTGGTTTTCAGTCCATTCCTATGGGAAATTTTGCTTCAACTTAAGAATGTTTCAACTTAAGAACACCATTCCAAAACAGATTAAGTTCTTGAGTAGAGGTTCCACTGTAGTTTCTATGGACGGAAAAGAGCAGATACGGATTAAATGGTTTTCAATGCATTCCTATGGGAAATGCAGATTCAACATAAGAACTTTTCAACTTGAGAACCACCTTCCAATACGGATTAAGTTCTTAAGTAGAGACCCCACTGTATGTGAGACTGCTGGTGAGGATGAATTGTACAGTATGTATAAATATGGGAGAAAAAGCTATGTGAAGGGAGAAAAGTATGTGTGAGAATGGTGTGTGCACAGGAGACAGAGAGAACAGGGTGGGTATAAAATACCAAAGGTACAGATGAGACTTGGGCACCTCCCCCCCCAAATACTGACACATGTCCAATCCTCTGTCCCACTGGCTTCTACGGGCACTGTCTGTCATTGCTATGAATCCATACACTAAAGCTACAGAGATATGTTTCAAACTATTGAGCAAAACATGCTGCTTATATACTGCCCCATAGCACTTCAAGCACTCTCTCATGATTTTAATTATACAGGCTACATATTTTCTGCCTCACAGTAAGCTGGGCACTCACTTTACCAACCTTGAAAGGATGGAAAGCTGAGTCAGTCTCGAGGCAGCTACCTGGGATTGGAGGTGGGTTGTGAGAAGAGTCTTGGTTGCAGTACTGCAATTTAACCACTGTGCCATAAAGCTTATTATAAGATCCTTCTGTTTTGTCTTCTTTAGTAAAAAGAAAAAGTATTCTCCTTTCAGGTCAATGGAAGACAATATATTGAAGATTAAAGAAATATTGAACTAAATATTGAACTGTGTAACTAAAATCCTTCAAGTAGTGTGGTGATGGGGTATCCAAGAAATGATCCTGGATATGAGACTGCGGGTCTTAAAATACCATCCATATTTTTCTCTCTGAAATACTGGAGGGTATACTCTTAGTTTTTAATATTGAGAGGGACTAGGAGAGAATGTGGTCAGCCCTATAATTCAGATGCAATTTTTTTTTATCTGTGGATGGCAATCGACTTGTACAATTCACATGTCGTTCTTGCTTGAAAACTAGCTAAGAGACTGTTTTGGTGTCAACAAATAAGCATACAACTGGAAATATTCTTATGCTGCTGGATTAAAAATCGTTCTCTCATCTTCACAACAAAGCTAAATTTTTGCTATGTATTATTTAAAAATACATTACCAATTTAATAAATCTAAAGGTTCAGGGGCCATTATAAACTGCTTGAACTTGCTTCTGAAGATTTATGATGTCCATCTGAACCCCCCGGCTGATTAATTGCCATGTATTCCATCCACAGCTTGTGCTGTTGCTTCTTTTTGACATGCACACAATTGTGTTTTGAATGCTGTTGTGTTTATTTGAGAACATGTGAAACAAAGGAGAAAAGTATGAATCTTTTGTAGAGTAGAAAGCTAACAATGAAAAATTTAGTCCTGCCCAAGCACTTGGACATTTGCAGGTTTTTTTTCCCCGTTCCCTATGCCACATCCCAAGTGGCTTCAGTTTCAGCCTCCCTTGGGCAAATGGAATTAGTCACACTATTCTTTGGATCGTAGGCATTATATTAAAAGGATGTCTGCATTTGTGCTCTTTAATCAAAGCATAAAAAGCCCTGAAGACTTTTTGGAGCAATCTTTTAGCCAAAATTAACAAAGCACCACAGCTCTTTAAATGTCTGATATCTATCTCAGATACTGAAGGCCAAACAAAGAGAGGCAATCAGATTTATTTTATTTATTAAGATGTACACCGCACATTTCTCCCCCCAACTCAATCTCACGCAGATAATGTGTAAGTGTATGATTTGATTAAAGTCTCAGAAAATATGCACAGTTACAGCTTTTATAGACTGAGTTAACAGTCATTACGGTAACTCCAGGATGCTTTGGGGTTCTACAGAGCTTTGCGTGATTGTGAGTTAATTTATTTTATTTTTTTCCATGTCAGGAAATATAGTTTTTATTCAGAAACTCCACTGCATACTTCCCAAGATTAAACAGGATGAGCTGGCATCACTTGGGCAATATTGCTGGATTGTTATATGAAGATGCAGAAGCTATCTTTGCAATAAAATGTGTCTATGTGCACAAAAGCATTTATGCAGCTAAATCTTTCCAAAGGAATCAGCTCTTCACAGAATCCCCATCTTTTTTTTTCCTTAAAAAAGATGATATACAGTACAGTACTCTTTAGCTACAAAAAAAGATCTCCTTGATTTTCAGTGCTAATAACCCAATATTCCTTCTTTACACAATGAATTAAGGATATGGCCTATTTGCTACAACTTCTCTGAATATATTGCACTGCTGCTGAAGTTAGAATGAATGGCCAGGATCCTGTTGTGTAGCTCTGCCTGCACAATGGAGTGATATCACCACGAGCAACAGGTAACTGAAGAGTTCTTTTCAGTTTTGGAGTGCATACAGTCTTGTATCATTGTATGGAGGTTGTGGGCACCCCTGAAGTCAAAAAGGCAACATTTTCTTTAGTTGTGATCTGTTGCTATCATTAATACTACTTCCATTGCAAAGGCAGGATTACACAACAGGATTCTAGGATACTATCCAAATGACTTAAAATAAAACTAAAAAATTTAAAGTCTATGAAGCTTACAAGCAAAGTAATACTAAGGAGCAGGATGTAGAAGTTCTGTTGATTGGCAGGGTTTCCTTCTCCCATTTTAATTTAAGAAGATTATATAAATTATTACTTGTTCTGCTGTTTTGTAAATCCAGAGGTAAATAAAAATAAAATAAAATAAAATGTCTTTCAAAATGACACCAGAAGGGGAACAGAAAACACATTGGTCAGCATTGATAAGGTCAGAAACACTGGCCAGCTGGTATCAGTGAAACAAAACCATATTCCAGTATTCTCCAAAGCACTCCAAATTGTAAAAGATGTACTAGCTGAGAGAAAAAGTCACATTTTCCCATTAACACAGTATCACTATTGAATGCTAGAGAAATGAAAAAGAAACATTATCTTAGGGTAAAGACATCTAGATGCCCTACAACAAATGAATACACCTGTTCATTTACTGTCTCACAAAATGGCTACTGAGAATACCATCCCCCAACAATGGACATAAGACTTACTGAAGTTGCAAAAGTGAAGTCTATTGAGAAGATAAAGCAGCAGCCAGTGTGCTTTTTTTGGTTTTTATCATCTTACATAACCCCCTATTAAGGTTCTGACAGCCTGACCTCAGGCAGTAGCAAAATGAAGTGAAAAGAAATGGAGGTGATAGAGGAGAGACTGAAAATGACAGTCAGGGGACTGAACGAGGTGCCTGTGATACAACAGAGTTGCAACCTAACAAGGAAAAGGTAAAGAAATAAATTTATGAAGAAAAAAAAGATATCAGTAAGAATAGACAGCTAGTGTAGTACAGTGGATAGAGTGTTGGACTAGGACCTAGAAGACTTAATGCTTGGCAATTCACTGGAGATGGCACTGTTAAAACAACTCCTTAAATATCTCACATACCTTGGAAACCTTGGTTCACCATAAATCAGACCTGACTTTGTAGCACATAACGCATACACAGTAACAATAGCACAAAGCCATAAGTAAAAGATGATGGCACAAGAATACCAGTTTAAATACAGCTTAAGATACTGAGTTCCATTAATACATTACTACAGTAAAGTGGGGTCTTGACTTGAGAACTTAATCCGTATTGGAAGGCGGTTCTCAAGTCAAAAAGTTCAGAGGTCAAATCTGCATTTCCCATAGGAATGCATTGAAAACCATTTGATCCGTATCTGCTCTTTTCCGTCCATAGAAACTAATGGGAAGCTGCTATTCCGCCTTCGACCACTAGAGGGGGATATTTTGTTTCTTTTTTTCTTAGGTCAAGAAAGGTTCAGGGAAGGCAGGGAAAATACAGTCCAGGCAGTACCAGGCAGTCCGAAGACTGTCTCCCAATCCACTCTCTAAACGCTGGGAGGAGTCAGGAAGCAGACAGGCATCTTTTTCACTGGCCAGTTAAAATTTTAACTAAAAGTTCAAATTTTGCACTTTCCCTGCCTCCCACGTGGTTTTTTTCATTTTTTTTCAGTTCGTAACTCAAATCTAAGTACGTAAGTCAAGTCAATATTTTCCCTATGAGAGCGGTTCGTAAGTCAAAATGTTTGTAACTCGGGCCATTCGTAAGTCAAGACCCCACTGTATATGATAAACACTGACTCCTTTCTATCAGATAAATAATACAGTTTATGAATATGTGTTCAAATTGCACCAAGAGTTACTGAAAGTCAAAGTATAATTTCTTTGCCTTTTCTGTGTGTCCCCCCTTTCATGTAGCCTCTTGTTAATATCTTATTATTACATAATCAACATTTCTATTTAACCAAATGCCAGATTATCTTCATATTATTTGAAAATTCCTGCAAAACATTCTGATATATGAGACCACACTTGTGTATAGAGAGACTATCCTTGTATCTTGGTCATTTTCTCTCTTACCTTTGCACATGGCCCAAGCCTCCTCGTCACATTTCTCACCGCTACTTCTCATCTCAAAGAAGTTGTATTCTTCCAGGCTGAGAAAGCCGTTCCCATCCAAATCAATCATTTCAAATATTTCTAATAAGACTGCTCTGAAGGGTGGAGGAGACAAATCAGTTCAACTGATCATACACCTCATTTCATTCAGAATATACATCAGAAAAATGTATTTGGGAACTAAACATATTGAGAGAGCAAAGTGTGGAGAATGTAAACTTTCACAAAAGCCTTACCTGAATTCTCTGGTGAGTGTGAAGTCTCCATTTACATCTCTATAAATAAGTTTGGCTTCTACTTCAGGTGGCCTCTTCACTTTTTTGAATCTACAGCCAGTGGTAAAAGGGACCAACCAATAGATGCCAGCTTCAAGTTCCCCTCTCCAACCATAAGTCTGCCGCAAAGAAAAAGACAAACATCAGCTATTTAGAGTTCTCATATTACTGTTCACAATTCACATTCACAAGTATTTGAGAGGTCCAGATTGGTCCTGTAGACTTTAATGCAGTGAAGTATGCTAAACTGAGTGCAGGATTCAGAAATAGGAAACTCAGGCTCAGACTTCCAGTTGTGGCAGAAACAGACACTGCAGAAAGCCCATAATTAGAGCTGAAAGCACTAGACACTGTGATCCAGGCAGTTTTCCGTGTTTGAGAAATCAGACTTCAAACCAATCTTTAAACCAATCTATAAAGTCATAAAGATGAATCACAAAACAAAGCAAGATAATTTTCATATGCTGGGAGAGAGGTGAGAGACTTTCACATTCGGACAAAGTCAGGTTTTAGGACAACTGTTTCAGCATCCTTGTGGCTGTCTAGGAATACAGGCAAACAATGTAACCAGGGTGGTTATGTGAAGGTGAAATAACTTTGTAAACTATCTCTCCTATGCCCAATCTTGAACAATACAGTGGTGCCCCGAGCAATTAGTTTAACGACGAATCCGCATAGTGATGAGGTTTTTGAGATCGCAAAAGCCATCGCATTGCGATGTTTTAAATGGTAAAACATTGCTTTGTGATGATCAGTAAGTGTTTCGTTTACTAATTTTCGCATAGCAATGTTTTAAAAACAGCTGATTGGCGGTTCCAAAATGGCCGCTGGATAAAAAAAATGGCCGCCTGCAGTGTTTTCACACCCATTCCTCGCTTACCGGGCAGCAAAAATGGCGGCTGCATGGAGGATTTTTGCAGAACGGTGAGTTTTTTGCCCATAGGAACGCATTAAACGTGTTTTAATGCATTCCTATGGGCTTTTTCGTTCCGCATAGCGATGAATCCGTATAGCGACGATTTTTTTGGAACAGATTATCGTCACTATGCGGGGCACCACTGTACCTTAAACAGGACTTAGTTTGTAAACATGAGAGCTGGTGGGTATTGCAAAGATTGTAAAAATATGTGAAACCTTCTGAAACTATAATTTAGAAAACAAATAAATCAGAGTTATGCCAAACAGTCCCTACGGACTGTATTGTACTAGTTAATATTCATACAGCTATGAAGATTTAATGCACTTCTACACAAGCATGGCCCAAAATTAAAGTGATTGGAATCCTACTGGCATAAGTATGCTGCCAGAAGAGTGTTGTTGTCATCCATAGGGGGTGAATTTTTATAATTAAAAATGTTCTACTTCTGTTTGATAGCTTTGCTGGCTGCTCATGGAAGATTTGGAAGCTGTGGAAGAGAATGGCAGTCTTTAATTACCTAAAGTTGAAGCTTGTGTGTGACATTACTGACAGGGAAATTTTTGTTATGTAAAGATTTGCTGCTTCCATCCCACTTTCGATGGTTGTTTTCACTATTTAATCATTGTATTAGGTTGCAATCGCTCATATCTCTGGCATGGAGGGACAGAGAAGGGACAAACTCTTATCTTGCTTTTATCACATTCTACTGGAGAATGTGATAGAAAAATTAGGAAGTAAAATGAAAGAACTGCCAGAAGTATCCAAGTCCAATGACTATCTAACAAACTACTTGACATTTGTATACATGCAACCAACATTCTTAGATCTAACTCTAAAAACCAACTTTCAAAAAAAGGATTCTTCAGATTAGGCTTGATATGGCCTGTTTAGTTGGGCAGCATTTGGAAAGTAATGAATTTAATTAATTATTTTGGGAATAACATAAAATTTCTGGCAGTAACTTAAGTCATTTTCTTTAAAAAAGAGAAATCAAGGGAGTTGTGTTTTACTGCATTTATTATTTCAAGACTAGAGTCCAATATTAGATATTATTTTCCCACGTACACAAAGCCAAATATTTAGTGTAGGATACTTTAAAATGTTTCTGACCTCTTTATTATGCAGCTCAGTGAAGCTCATAAATTCTAGATTATCTTCTGTTCCCTTGATTATGAACAAAGCTGTGTCCACTGTTAACCATGGGGTGCTTTTGCCTACAAAAAAGTGGAAAATTATTTATAAAAAATATGGTTATAGCCTCAGTTGTCCAAAAAAATATACTAAGTTACTGTGACTGTTTCTACTTTTAAAAAGTAACTCTTTATGTTAAGTTCCTTTTCAAAAACCTGAATGCTACAAATCACCGGCTTGTGGAACAAATCATATTCTCCTCTTGCTCACCTGAGTTCCTGCAGCAGAGCATGACCCATCAAAAAAGGTATGCGGACACCTCCCTTACCAGACAGCAATGTCACATCTTTATAATTATAAAAACTACTTTAAACGTTTGTTGCACTGCAAAATATGTGATTCCCCTGTTAATTTACAATTGTAATGCAATTTAATAATGCATTACTTATTGAAAATGGCATTAATTACAAGCGAATCCCAAACTCTAGTGGTATCACTATCTTTTTTACATAGTTGACTACAGATACTTTTAATAGAAAAGGGATCCAAGGGGTTTTAATCATTGTCAGCAATATGCTTCATACAAATAAAGTTAGAATGTAGATAGTTAGAACTATAAGAATTGACTGAAATCCTGTTGCTTAGTGTAGTAAGTGGCAACTAGAATAGGCCTATTGAACAAGTTGGGATTTGGTGAGTCAGCTCCTCTGTAAAAGCAATTGATTCAGTGGGCCAACTAGTTGAAACTAAGCAACAAGATTTCAGCCATGATATCTGAAGAATTTCAAAAACTGTATTTCTAGAACAAACAATTTTCAATGCTTTATACAATTTTTTGTCATTGTTTATCCTGGGTTACTTTGTTCTCACAAAGAAGGCCACTCACTATCCATCCAATATGCAGTTCCAGAAAATTACAAGGAAATATTTCTGATAATGGAGTGAAATATTCTTACCTTCTCTCTGGCTAAGCTTGACAGGCTTAATGGTGATACAAACTGCAGATTTCTGAGTCAAGAATAGTTTATATTTATGACTAATTATCTCTCCATTGTTCTGAAAGAAGAAGCATCCTCTGGATTGGGCACAATGCCATTCCTAGAGTCAAATCAAACAATCAACCAACACATAAGAAAGTTCTTTAGTCTCTTTCATGCAGCTACAATTACAGTGCTAGAAAACCTGACAAGTGTTTATGGAAGTATTTCTGCCAGTGTTGAAATGTTAGTGCTTTATTTTCACCACCTTCAGAACACGGCCAAGAAGCCCGAAAAACCCACAACAATCAACCAACACATAAGAAGGTACTTTAGTCTCTTTCATGCAGCTACAATTACAGTGCTAGAAACCCTGACAAGTGTTTCTGGAAGTATTTCTGCCAGTGTTGAAATGTTAGTGCTTGATCCTCCCTTGCAGATTTATTTTCTAAACTGATTTAACTTTTATAACTGAATATATATAGTAAATTAGCTTATACAATTAGGAATTGAAATTAACATCACATCTTAGTCTTATTTACAGTTCTCTTCATTGTCTTTCTCATCCTATGGCTAACTCTCACTTTTCCTTATAAGCAAGATACAGACTCTCATTCTCTTCTGCTTTCCCCTCCTCTAAAAACATTTAGGTTTCCTATTTATTTACAAATAATCACAATTATCTTGCATACGTTACACCCGAAGAAGGCTGTTACCTGCAGGGGGAGATTTTCAGTTAAAATTAGAAATTAGAAATTCCTCTCCTGTGGCTCATCCACCTCAGGAATAGTTCTTTTAATTAGGTGGAAGCTCTGGGGGCCCTGGGATGGTAGGATGATGTCTTGACTGAAAATATTGCAGATAATATCATCTGACTTTGATTTTTGATAATAAAAGACTTCCTCCTTTTGTACCACAGCTCTCAGTTTCCATGCAATGCAAGGAATTACAGTAATCATGAATCAGGCAAGCCATGCAACAGAAGCAGGACTCTGTAATTACCAAAACTCCCCTCACCCCACCCATGACTCCATTACTATTTCTCAAGCATAATGTATTCAAGAAGAATCCCTCTATTGTTTCTATTATACAGTACAAAGTCAATCTATTAACTTCTGCAGTTTGATAAACATATTTCATTTTGGTGTGTCCTTTTCACCATGTAGCTTATTGGCTTTTCTTTAACATTAATTCTCCAAAGGCTTGAGTCTACTGAGCAGGGCTATTGAGGACAGGCCATTTATCACCCATTCATAGGGTCACCATAAGTGGGAAGCAACTTGATGGCACGTAACAACAATGACAAAACCCGAGAAAAACTGTTTTTGATTGTAACTCCTAGAATTCTTCTGCCAGCAATGCAACTTGCCAGGTTCACCAAGGACTGGGGGATATATTGTTGGGGAAAAAAAACAATTTCCAAGGTCTGAGTAAAAGTAGATAGATTTTCAATTTTAGGATACTAAAGAACTCGAAAGTCTATCCAGAGTATTTCATTAGAAGTCAGCTTCTCTTTTCACTCACAGTAGTACTATCAACACGGGTGACACTTTATATATAAATCCTTTTTCTAAGTGAGGGACGTGGTGGTGCTGTGAGCTAAACCGCAGAAGCCTGTGCTGCAGGGTCAGAAGACCAAGCAGTCGTAAGATCAAATCCACGCGACGGAGTGAGCGCCCGTCACTTGTCCCCCCTCCCGCCAACCTAGCAGTTCGAAAGCATGCAAATGCAAGTAGATAAATAGGGACCGCCTCGGTGGGAAGGTAACAGCGTTCCGTGTCTAAGTCGCACTGGCCATGTGACCACGGAAGATTGTCTTCAGACAAAACACTGGCTCTATGGCTTGGAAACGGGGATGAGCACCGCCCCCTAGAGTCGAACACAACTGAACAAAAATTGTCAAGGGGGACCTTTGCCTTTACCTACCTTTTTCTAAAGTGAAGAGTAGAACCAGAAATTCAGTAGTGCATCATACTAATTAGCTGATGCTGCAGCTAAGCAAACTCCGGCTACTAATATTAATGATACTTATAGAGCAATTCTACAAGGGATGAAAGGGGAAGACGTGAGGCAGAGAATCTCATTCTCTGCTGAGCAGAAGGTATGTGTAAGGGGTGGGGCCTTTTTTCTTTGGTTTCTTTCCCCCTTTTTAATTAAGTATCCTTCTTTCCTTCTTTTTGTTTTCCACTTTCACTGACTCCTATGGGAGGATTACACTTCCCTCATCCTACATGTTGAGAAATGCACTGGAGCGTTCAGAGTCACAATCTCTCCTGACAGGCTCATGAACGATACATACTTTGTATACTGTCACTTGTTGGAGAAGCATCAGCTACAGACCACTGGGCAGTCTCAAGAAGGCTTACAAGAGCCCTAGTCTCTCTCTCTCTCTCTCCAAGAAAGAAACTCTTGGCCTGCTCTTGGAAAAGGAAATATTAAAAATCCAAAGGATTCTCATAATGCCCTCCAAGAAACAACAGTATCACAGCTATAGCATTTTACAGTCTTTTCCTATGAGTACTCCACATGTATTATCTCAGCCATGTTTACAACAAACCCTTTAAGGTAAGCTGGTGTTATTATTCCTCTTTATAGATGGAAACTGTGAAAATGGCAGCTTTTTAACGCCACTTTGTAACTTTCTGGCTCATCATTTGCCCTCTTTCTTTTTCTTTCTTTCTTTCTTTCTTTCTTTTATTTATTTGTTTGTTTGTTTGTTTGTTTGTTTGTTTGTTTGTTTGTTTATTTAATTTATATGACGCCCACACTACCCAAAGGTCTCTGGGCGGCTTACAACAATTAAAATACAATACAATTTAGAACAATTAAAATAGAATTAAAATATATATATTTGTCACTATGTAGTACCAAACGCTAAGTATTTAAGTATATAATTGACACAGGAAGTGTTAAAACAAGTGATTGCTATGTTTGAGTGACTTTATCATGTTTCAAACAGTGGAAGAAATCTGACAACAATAATTCTAGCCTTGTGGTAGAAAACCGTGAGAACTTTTAAAATCCAAACTCCCTGCTTGCTGTTCTGCTGGAAAACATAAGGTGGTGCTGCAGCTCCTAAATCCACTTGTGCGCTGTGCAATTCTAGTGATTTTACTGATGCTGTTTGTACCTTTTATATCCTTTTTTGTGGTAAGATGAACAATAGAGGAAATGGGTATGGGAAGTTCAAAATTTGGAAAAAAAGAAGGAAAAATGAACATTTACCAAAAGATTATATAGGTGTAACATACGTATTTGGCAGCTGTGATATAACATTAAGCAGTGAAAATATATTTTTGATATAGTCATGGCTTTGCAGTTTGAGCACAAGCATTAGTGCAACTGCCATTCATTTTGGCAGGAATTTCCCACTTAAAACACTATGGAAATGAACACAACAGAGTTTAACTCCAATGCACCAGGATTTCCATTAATGCACAGGATTATACTACATGATGCAAAATCTCCCCCCTCCCCCAATATCTCTTGCTAGTTCTAAATGATTATGATAACTATTGACTGGGAAAAGTATGAATGCTCATACCTGAATCCAAAAGAATAGTCAACCCTAATGATAAACCATAAACTTTTACCTCAAAACTTCTATTTTCCATAAATTCAAATACAACTGTATAGTGCTCACATAATTATTTGCCGGTCTACATTACTGTAGATGTATGTTATGTGTTTCTCTATTTATTTCTACATCCACTTGGCCATGCCATTATTTGCAGCCTGATTTGCAGAGGACACCAATACAGACAGCTGACCAAAGTTTCCTACTGGCTGTTTATACTGTATAATTATAGATCTTTCAACTGGCTTTTAGATGTATACATTTATCTTTTCTCAAATACTGATAAATTTTATACAGCTTAACAACTGGAATTACTATAACATAAGCGCCTAATGCTGAGGATGGATAGATCAGTCAAAGTTAATTCCATCCTGTTTCTTTATTTAAAATTAAGATGTTAACGTTATACTACAGTATAACATTGTCTGAGCAAGTGTGGGCTGCCTTCCTTCTCTTCCTCCTACTTAAAGCAACACACGAAGCAGCTAGAAAATCTATGGAGATGGACGTGATGAAAGCGATGCCGGTGTAGATGAACTTCAGAAAAGTAAGTTTTAGAGATGTTCTGTTGCTTGGGAGGATATTGCACAGCAAAAAAGAGTCTGCCTCTATGGAAGGCGTACTCCCCCCCCCATTTCTGAGTGCCTCCAAGGATGCTGTACAACAAATAAACAGACATCCATAGAGACAGACAGATTCTGTCCCATCTCCATTAAAGGAGGGACAATAAGACTGTATGTGAATGTCCTTCACTCTAGTCAACTGTGACCACTCTAGGCGGCTGTATTCACATACAATAAGACTGTATGTGAATGTCCTTCATAGCCATCTGCTGTTCAGGATTTGACAACTCTAATTTGAATTTGCCATACGGTTGCTGATTTATTTATTTTTTATCACTCATCCCTGCATGTTCAGAATTACTATTTGGCACTGAAACTTCCAAGAACCACTGTAAGAGCAGATGTGTGATTATTATTTGGAGGCTACCTTTTTACATGTTATAATTAGAAAGATAAAAATATCCCACATGTGAAGTAGTGAAAACCACTTATTTTGTAGGAAAAGGGACAATTTCCTTTTTTATGAATTACTTTAAGTGGAGAAACATGGCTTCCAAGCAACCCAGATAACCAGTCACCTAATATAGAATAAGCTCAGAAAAACAAAAGAAAACAAAACAGACACCTCAGCTTAGCCTTTCTTTTTTGAAGGCACCCGCTAAGTTATTCATTTCTGCATATTGTTGTTGCACAGGACGAATATCACTACCTCCACAACATTCGGTGAGGGGAAACATCATTCTTCCATTCTTGCATACACTATGTGAGTCTTGCACAAAGCCAGGCTTTTATTCAAAACAGAAGCAAAGAAACAAAAATTACCAATCCCGCAAAAATCTACATAGAACAATAGATGAATCTTCAGGGACCAGCTGAGACAACACAAGGAGCCAGCAAGTATGTTCCCACCCCCCTATATCTCTCCCATCGAAAATATAATAATATTAGTGTACTATCAAGTTAATTCTGATGTACAATGACCCGTTTTCTATGTAGAGAGCACACAGAAAGTGGTTTACAGTTCCCTTCATCTGGGGACATTCCGGGTTTGTGCACCTTGCCCAAGGCCATGCATGCTGGCTGTTCTTCCTAGAGGCAGAGTAGAGAACCAAACGTTCAACCTCTGGCTCCACAGCTAGATATCGAACTTAGGAAGCTATCCAGCCAGCTCCATAGACAACAGTGGTAGGGAAAATCACCATCCCAACTTCAGGGCCATCATACTATTTTCATTCTTCTTAGAGGCATGTCAGGAGAAAATGAGACTTCAAATTCTATCGTGGCCTGGTCTCCTCCAATCTGCGCTCAATATGCTTCTTTCTGCTTTACAATCAGCAAAACATTACTTAAAGTTAATCTACACCAGTGGAGATTTCTGCTGGCACACTGGAGAAATCTCTGGGAATACCGCCCCACTGATGGTGTTTATTCATTTACAGTGGTGCCTCGACTTGCGAACTTAATTGGTTCTGGAACTCCGGTTGTAACTCGAAATGGTCGTAAGTCAAAGCACCATTTCCGATAGGAATGCATTGAAATGCAATTAATCCATTCTGGCCACAGAAAAAAATAACAAAAAATCACTGCAAGACCCATCGGAAATGCAATTAATCCCTTCTGGCCGAAGGGGGGGGAGAAACGCAATCAAGCGTGCAAGACCCATCGCAAATGCAAAGAAAGCAAAGCAAAAAGCAAGCAGAGCACATTAGAAATGCAAAGAAAACAAAGCAAAAACCAAGCAAAGCAAACAGAGCACATCGCAAATGCAAAGAAAGCAAAGCAAAAAGCAAGGGAAGCATGCAAGACCTATCAGAAATGGGGGGGAAACCCCACCCCCTAGACCCAATGAAAATGGTGAAACCCCCCCAAAAGCAACCAAACCCCCCAAGACCCATCAGAAACGGGGGAAACCCCAAACAAACAAACAAACCCCTCAAGACCCAACACAGCACAGAACATAACCACCCCAGCCCAAAACCACGCTGCAAAACCCACCCAGAAAAGTTTTTAAAAAGCAGAAAGCAGCGCCTTACCTTACCAGGCAGTCCGAAGCCTCCTCTGATCACACACTCTCTAACTGCTGGGGCAAAAGAGCTACAAAGAAGCAGCCTCTTTGCCTACCAATGGTTAGGAATTTGAATTTCCCACCTTTCCCCCCTTCCTTTTTGTGTTCATAACTGGAAGCTCCAGCCGCAAGTCAAAGCAAAATTTTGCGGCCGGAACTGGTCATAACATGAAATGGTCCTATGTCAGGACGTTCATAAGTCGAGGAACCACTGTATTATTTCAACTTGCATACTGCCCCATAATGCAAACTCTCTGTGTTCCACTTCTGTAACATTTTACAGTCCATTGGTGGCCAGCAGAAGGATTGTGGGATTATGGCCTAATTATTATTATTACTGTATTTTACAAAAGTTATCAATCTGATTGTTCACTAACAATAGCTTAGAAAGCTACTCTTCATTACTATGTTATCTGGCCACTGAAACAGAACCAATGACTTCCAGTAAAAAAAAGAAACCTCTTATGTTTTCACACACAACATATATCTGAACACACTGGAATTACAGGCTACATTGCACGGGGGTTCAAATACCTAAACACACAGGGAAAAAAAATCCTTGGAGAAGATGTTTTAAAATTTTAATATAGAACAAATGTCACTGTCTAGCAATGTTAAAGATATAAAGGACTTCAGAGTTCAATAACAAATACAGAGTTGTTATTTGAAACAAAAATGTAACTCGAGAGAACAATCAGTTCAGTCTTCTAGCCGCAGTTATATTACGTGGTCATAACCATTCTTTCTCCCTTACATAGAGGTCTCAAGGCACACATTTTCAATGTATCTTAGCAGTTTCCAGATAATGTTTTATATTTCTCTAGCTATTATTTTCTGTTGAAAGAAAACTAGTAAGGGTTGAATCAAAAACAGGAAAACAAAAGGAAAAGGATCAATATTAACACTCTACAAATATTGACTTAGCAAAGTGACTTTGTTGTCTTTCTCCCAAAGGAAGGGATATTCAATGAATGACTTATTTAAAAGAAATTACTTGTAAAACTTATTAGTCTAAATAACAGTCAATATATCCAAGCTACGGCATATATCTACCAATTAATGTCTTTTGAACTGACTAGTTTTCAAGATATTTATTTTCAATTACCTTTCCTATACAACGTTGTGTGATACATAATCTTTCAGGCTACTTAAGCATTTAAAGTTCTAATAAATTATTCAATTTTGCATTTCTCAAACAGTCATTAACAATTTTATCCAAGAGTGCTTTTCTTTATGGGAAAATATGGTTTGTTCTAGCAAACCTTCACACCTGAAAAATGATCCTAAATAACAGGATGTCAGCAAAACCAACATTATATAAAAATGTTTACAATGTTTTGCAACCAGAAATGTCTCTGTGCTATATTGCTACCCTTGACAAGCAGTTAATAAAACATAAGCTACATGAGAAAGAAAAATTGTTTTCTATTTAGAATGCAGGAGCTATACCTGGTGAAGAGCAGCACGAGTCAAACTACATTAACAGATGGAACGTACCTTTGTTGTACTTGCCACAAGCAGTTTTGAGTCCTTCTTGCAACAGGCACCCATACTGATGGCGGAAGAAACACATATTTTGCAACTGGGCACTGAGGGGCCTTGTGAATATGATTTGCAATGATCTAAAACAGAATTTTCCTTACTTTATTTTTTTCCTGAATATTTACTTTCAAAAGTACAGTGAGCTTAAAAGGGTGTGTGTGTCTCTCACAATTAATCTGCTTTGGTAAAATGATTCGTATACTTGCCTAAAAAGACTATATGCCCTACAACAGGTTGGAATATGCTTTTGATTTGCACTGAACTTGCCAAGTCCACTTGTAATGAAACACCAACTTTTCATCTGTCCAGTAACATTTGCGTTTAAATATCAGAGTCTATCTCTTAAAGTAAGTGACATAAAGACAATGTGAAATTGTACTAAGATGAAGGTTCCTAATTTCAATTATTTGTTCCAATTCTAGCCAAACTTTGATATGGAATGGGCAGTCACAAAGTTTGCCTTATCTGTGGCTTTCTTTTAATTTCTTCATCTGTGTGAAAGCACAAAATCTACATGTATAGTCTTTACTCACCACTCTTTGTCTCTACATTATAGGGACGTTTATAATAATTACAGAAAGACAGAAGAATGGTACAAACATTGCCAAAATATTCTATAGAGGAAAAGAACCAAAAGGGAAATTTTACGTATTCAATGGCCATTGTAATCCAACTTGATATAAGTCAGATTGGTCTGTTCATACCAATCTTCTGAATCTAGAATTGCTTGAATATAAATGAAAGGGCTACTTGTATGCTTCGACTATCTCTTGCCTCTTATATTGAGTACAATTATAGTAGTTAAGTAGATGAGTAACGCTGAGATCATGAGTAGGCTAACTAAAATAAAAAAAGGTGGAAACTCTTCAAAGTGAAGATGTTTTAAATCTCAATCATGCTGGGGTAGAGTGAAGCACAAAACTAAATGTGTCCCAGCAAAATTAACAAGGGTTTAAAGTTCTTTAGGTTGTTTTCATCATGAACAGTACTTGTGTCTTTACACGTATTCCTAAAGTCTTGCACTGAATGTAAAAGGGACCTGATAAATAGACAGATGATATCCCACAATGTGGACAATATCCTGTTGTGCAGTGTCTGCCTGTGGAATGGGTATGATGGCAGCAGCAGCAACAGCAGCTTGTCACAGATTAAAGTCTCCCTTTTGTAGCTGTGGGATAAACATGACTTTGTTGTATTGTGTGTGAGCAGTGACACTCCAAAATTGCAAAAGGAACTTTTAATCAACCACCATCAAGGATGTCAGTTCCACTGTGCAAGCAGAACTACGCAACAGGATTTTAGCCTGTATGTTCATTTCTCTCCATTTTGATGTGCACCTAAATTAACTAACATTAGCTAAAAGAAAATGCTGAGATGAGAACTCGGTTTGAACTGGAGCTTCTGGAAATAAGGACTTTCCTAGCATCAATGAAACAAATCTATGAATTGCATAAATAAGCACAGATCTCAGTAACAGAAAACCTACTATCGTATTTGCCGGCACACAAGGTGACCGGCCGTATAAGATGACCCCCCCCAACAGGAGGAGGAGGAAGAGGGGAAATGGGTGGGTGGCGGGCGAGCGAGTGCGCGGCTGGCTCAGCGGCGCGGGGCGGTGGGCAGCCCAGCGGCGGCTCAGGCACGGCAGCAAGAGGGTGAGGAAGAGCGGAAGAGGCTGAGTGGGCGGTGGCAGGAGGAGGAGGAGGAGGAAGAGGAAAAGGAAAACAGACGGGTGGCGGGCAAGTGAGCACGTGGCTGGCTCAGCGGCACGGGGCGGCGGGCAGCCCGGCGGCGGGCTCTGGCCGCTCAGGCATGGCAGGCTGTGCTTCCCTCCATCCACCCAGACCGACCGACTGCCTGGCTGCCTGCCCGCCTGCCTTCCTCCCTGGCCAGCGCAGCCCCACATCATTCAGTGCACTCGGCGTACAAGATGACCTCCCCACTTGGAGGCATGTTTTTGGGCCCAAAAAGTCATCTTGTACGCCGGCAAATACGGTATATTCAAGGTGTCCTGGGGAAACTCATAGGATAGAGCTTTGCTGTTCAAAAAAATTATGAATACCTCTTTTTAATGTTGGTCCAACCCCTATTTTCCTAGTTGTTTTTGGTAATGATGTTGAAAGTGGTGACTCTGCCATTTCTGATGAGGTCTTGTGTTGACTTCCAAACTGCTGACACTTCAGTTTACAATTAGCATCCAGTTTCTCTACTGCATTCTTCAGACACTGCTCACTGAATGTCATGTACGATTTACAAAACTGTAAAGAAAAACAGACATATGCCTTGCTCTGTGTTTAAGAAGAAAAATAAACAAAGGCACAACTGAAGAAAAAAGATCAATAGATAAAAAATATTTCCTTTGGAAGCACAATTCTCCTGTTATTTTCATGAATTACATGGACCACTTTCCAATGACACCACAAAAAGGAACCATGATTCAGTAAGAAGATTAGGCAACTGGGAGAAAATAAAATGAAAAGTTACCCCAAGGTAAGATTTATATTGTCTACTAGGCACATTTGTAGATACACTGGATTTTTCTGCCCAATTTTTAATAGTGATCCCTGCCAGCCCCTGTAGCTTCAGCAAAGTTTCTGCCTTCCATCCTTTCCACACAAGTAGTAGGCAATGGATCAAACTCAATGGAGATTTCTTGAAACTTGGATCAGGGGAAAGGATAACAACCACTTGCACACAAACTCAGAGGTTCTAGTTCTAAGCACTAGTCTGACATTCTCTCTATTGCTTTGCTGTTCTCTGGTTCAATTCACAAAGGAGGTCAAAGTCTCTCAGGGTGACTTGGTTCCCTTCATTAAGTCTCCGGTTTGTTCAACCAGTCCAGTCTGACACCCGAGGTCTCCCTCTCTCTCAGAGAACAAGGGGAAATATATCCATACTGTGGGCAGGTATGCTGGGATCCTTTTCCAGGATCACTTGTTCCTCCTGTGTGTTGGTCGTGACACCCCTTCTTCATCAGTGTTTATGTGGGGAGGAGGTTGATGCACCTTCCTTTCTCTGTTCTTTCTTTCCTTCCCTCCCTCTTTCTCCCCAATAGGAGGACTGTGAAGGGTGGCCTATATTTGTATCTAGAGGCCTCTTCTTTAGGCACTTAAAATTAGACTCAGATCCCTTGCCATGGATCCTTCTTATATATGTAGTCCCATTCAACCTGAACTTCTTCCTCAGAGGACCCCTTGGCCCAGTAGTTGCCTGACTGCTCCTCTTGCGTGTCTCATAAATCTTTGTCCTCAGACAAAGGACTGTGAAGGGTGGCCTATATTTGTATCTAGAGGCCTCTTCTTTAGGCACTTAAAATTAGACTCAGATCCCTTGCCATGGATCCTTCTTATATATGTAGTCCCATTCAACCTGAACTTCTTCCTCAGAGGACCCCTTGGCCCAGTAGTTGCCTGACTGCTCCTCTTGCGTGTCTCATAAATCTTTGTCCTCAGAGGATCTCTCTTCTTCCCCTGGTCCTTCTCTCCCTGCGATTCCTGGGCTTGGGTTTCCAACTCATAGACAGAAGAGTCAGCTTTCAGCCATTGTTCCCTTCTTGTTCTGTGTGTGGGGGTCTTCTCCCCCTCCATCACAGGGGTATTCATCTCCATCTCTGGCCTAGGCATACCTATTGTCCCTGGGGTGACTGGTCCTCCCGGCTTGGGAACCAGTCCTTCCCCCACCTCACAGTTATCCTCCTCACTCTTAGTCTCCCATAGAGCTTCTGCCTCATCTGGCAGCAAAGCTGCTTTTATATCCTTGGTATAAGGACGGTAGATAAGTTCCATGGTAGACTAGTTCCAACCATTCTCCCAGGGACCATCCCCAACTCCCAGGATTGACATCACCACTCTGGCTTCCATTTGTGTTCCAGCATCTTGGGAAGAGTTCGCCACTAAGGCCACAGTGGCCTGTAAGCTCTCTGCAGCTTCATTGGTAGCAATCTGGTTGGGGGTTTTGGTCAGAGCATGTTGGCATATCGGCAAGGGAATCCATGAACCTGCCCATCTCACAAATAAAATACTTCTCTACAGATCTAAAAATAAGTTCTAATGAAGAATCCAAACCTCAAGATAAAATAAATAAACCCAATATTCACACAAATGAACCTTGTATTTCAGAAACAGCATACTGAGGCTTTAGCTATAGCCTAAAATATAATATTGTGATGGCTGGCTCCACATACTTAAGAAAATACTGGTGGCAAAAACAGAGGTAAGTATCTTTTATACTTCACTTGGTATTTTCCTCATTCTTCTTTACTATATGAAGTGCTGTATCTTCACTGTGAATTCTGAAGCCAAAGTCTGATGCTACACAACACATTTGGAACATGGAATGTAAGAGGTATGAATTAAGGTAAACTGGAGAATGTAAAGCAAAAAAATTAAATGTTTAAACACTGCAACATGTGTTGTGAAGGGATCAAGAGCAGGACTGGAACAGATACAGCTCTAAGAGAAAGGTAAGATGTAGCATAAGCAGTTAAGGGTAAGACATAGCACAAACTGCCACTCCATGCAAGACAGAACTTTGCATACGACTTACACCACACTTCCTTTACACATGCATCTGAACTTGCAACTAGATGAATATCTTCTTACTGACCATAGAAATACCGGGCAGAATCCTGTTGGTACCTGATATGTGCTTAAGTTTAATTCTTTAACTCACTTTAGCAAATTGCCACTAACGAATGGGATCCCAGTTGTATTACTAGGCATTTGCCTGTTGTGCATTTACTGTATATGTGTGTCTTGGAACATGACTGATGCAATATCATTTAGCGATAATTTGCCATGTTGAATTATGCAATTTAACTTACAGAAGTTTAATTCATCAACAGGATTCTGGCAATTAGAAGAAGAATGTCTCACACACAGAAGATTATGCATTGTACTTAGGCAAAGTAGGGAAACCTGTCCAAGAACACTGATGAAGTTCAAGTAGGATATGTTCATGTTTTGTTTTGCCACAGATGTTTGTGGAAAGGAAAACAATGATAAGCTTGGATCCTAGAATGAAGATGAACCATCCAAAAGTATCTGGCTTCTCGACCAAGTTTGGGCTGGTTAATGAAGCATGGCGAAAAAATAGGTTCAGGTTTTTGCAGCACAAGAAACTACGAAGAATATCCAGGTGTTGTTGTAAGTGACTGGTTTTTCTTTTCTTTTCTAATTTTAATTTTAAAAATAACAAAATATAACAAAAAACATAAATGAAAAATAGAATCACAACTTAAATATACAGTGTAACCCACCACCATTGGGAATATAAATTTATTCTCATCAATATGGTTCATCTTAATTTATATCATATGCCCCATCTCTTTCCAAAATATAATGATTCTTGTGTTGGGGTATAATCTTTATGTTTTGTAAATAGGTACTCTAGTGACTGGTTTTTCTAAACAGTGAGCGTACTTCAGGATTGAAGCATCGTTTTCTGCCAAGGCTTTAGAATGACCAAATCATAGGTTATGTCACAAGTTGCTTGACTAAGGTAGCCAGAAAAGTATTGAGATTTGAATGGAGTTCCCACTATATAGCTAAGTCATATGAAGGCACTTATTATATGCTGAGCAGCAAGAGAAAACATACAGCTCCTGAAGTCCAGTTCCAACAAATGCATGCTGCCATCATGTTCCTTTTGTTCCTAGCTGCCGTACGGATCTCATCCCCACTGCTTTACCAAGATCAAAACTAATATTAGATTCATTAGACAGAGTGCTAGACTGACATTAATACAATAAGGTGTAAAAATCATAGTGGCTAAACCTCTCATCAATAACTTTCTGGTCATTTTGTTCACTGTACCTTATAGTAGTAAAATTTCCCATCATTGTTCACTTCAGCTAGTTCTGTAATTGCACTGACTTCATCAAGAGTCATTTTTTCACCTCTCTGCAAAAGAATATCATTTTCAGTTACTGATAAAAGAAAAACACAGCACAGTTGTTATACAGGAAAAAGCAATAAAAACTGTTAAACATATTGAAATGCTTGAATTACTAAAAGAGAAATTCAGATCTAATAATTTCCTGTGTCACTTACAGTTGTAAGAATTTTAGAAAGTTCACTATGCAGAATGCAGCCATCATTATCTGTATCTATTTTTGCAAATGCCTTGAGTAGTTCTGTTTCCCTAATAGGTGGTTCTTGTCTTAAGATGAAACAAAAATCATCAAAATTTAATGATGTGGTCTGGAGTGTCCAGTATTTATTGACTGTCTTCTGAGATGGATTTCTTCCACCTTGCTGAAGAACTGCACAACAAAGCAAAATATGAGCTGTTATTGATACTAAGTACAGTTTTCTCAAAAAAGTGATGAAAATTTTTGCCTGAAAGGACTGCTTTAATCCTATTATGGTCTAGTTAGTGCATTAGCAGATGCAGAACTTCTTAGATTCAAAAGTTGATTAACATTAAATATTAGAAACATCAGAAGTGGGTCAAAGGTATCTATATGCTATACACTGGAAAAGAAGGCCCAACCTACTGCTGAAGGCCTAGCTGAGCTCCTGTAAATTCAGCAGACTCTTGTAAATTTGATTGTTTAAATGAAATGCCATGTTTAATAGATGACCGAACATGAAAACTCCCAAAACGTTTCTTGGTGCAAGGAGAGGCAAACACAGATGGCTAAGCTGCTGCATTTGAATATCCAGTTCTCTCTGGCCATCCCACAGGTAGCTGCAAATGAAAAAGAATCCCTCCTAATAGCAACAAAGGTTTTGTTATTTATCCGTCACTTCATTCTGTTCATTCAAACAGATATTTTGGAATCCAGCTGTGTGATGAGCAATTCAGTTGTGTGATGAGCAATACAGGATATTCAGCAGATCTCTGCAGCTGCCTTGACTTTCAGAGTTCTGTAACTAACTAGGATCAATTGGGGCCAGCTTTCTAACCTGACGTCTAACCTGATCAATGCTTCCTGGCAAAGTTTATTACAGTCCTGTGCTAAACAAGTGTGGCTAAGAGTGGCCAACTGGCTCATTATACATCAATGGTTCATAACTGTGGAGTTCCTTGTGGTCTTGGACAATGAGCCCTTGAAGCCTGGAGAAATACTATTGTTTTGTCAGTTTTAACTAAAGCTTTGTTTCGCTTTATTATAATACAGTATTCTTATATTGGATATAGGTTTAACATTCTCAGATCCTCAAAAGAAGGGAAAAAACTTAAAATGGAGCTGGGGCTCTTTGAAGCTTTGGCTAAGCCAGACGGCCTTCTCTGTTAAGATGAGAAACTAAGAGAACAAACTTTTAACATGGATATACAGGAAAACACCTAAAGAATGCAGGCTGAATAGATAACTATAGCTAATATCTACAAGTTCCATATCTTCTCTGACCATTGTTTAGGCTACTTGTCTTCCTGACATATTTCTAACTTGGGTGTCATCTATTCTCTTAATGGGAGAACATTCTTTCTGACGTGATGTTTGGAGCAAGTCATAACTTAAAACCTATGTAAGAACTTAGAACGCACATGCAGACAGGTTTTTTTTTCTTTGCTTGTTTTTAACCCTCTGTTCATTTTGTTAATTTGCTGGCTTTTCTGTCTGTTTGTTAGTGTGAATAAATGTATTGACTACTTTGTATTCGCATTTATCTTTGCGCAATTTGGGCCAGGTCTTTTAGTGGTTGTTTAAAATCCACAACAGGCTTGTAACACAAAAGAGTAACATAACTAAGTAAAATTGTTAATAATTTTACTTTCTGAAACAATCTGGCCGGTAGCTGTGTTAGTTTGTTCTAGTAAAAGAGAAACCACAAGTCTTGTAGTACTTTTAAAACTAAATAGGTTTTATTTCTTATAATCATTTGTAGCCCCAAGTACAATTTTGCAGATGAACACAATTCATCCAGAGTGTTGGCTATATTAGTCCAATAATCATTTGTAGCCCCAAGTACAATTTTGCAGATGAACACAGATGAAGAAATGTGCTTGGATGCACAAAAGCTTATGAAAAATAAAAACTAATAAGTGCTACAAGACTTTTAATTTCTAAAATATTATTATTAAAGGTTAGATTTCAAGATACAGTGGTGCCTCACAAGACGAACGCCTTGCGGGATGAAAAACCTACAAGATGAATGGTTTTTTCGATCGCTATGGTACCTCACAAGACAGCTTCTTCTATGGCCAAGAATATGAAACAAAGCTTGTAAGGTAAAGGTAAAGGTTCCCCTTCACATTTAGTCCAGTCGTATCCGACTCTAGGGCACAGTGCCCGTTTCCAAGCCGTAGAGCCAGCGTTTGTCTGAAGACAGTTTCCCTGGTCACGTGGCCAACGCGACTAGACACAGAATGCTGTTACCTTCCCACCGAGGTGGTACCTATTTATCTTCTCGCATTTTTACATGCTCTCCAACTGCTAGTTTGGCAGGAGCTGGGACAAGCGATGGGAGCTTACTCCATCGCTGGATTCGATCTTACGACTGCTGGTCTTCTGACCTTACAGCACAAAGGATTCTGCAGTTTAACCCGCAGCACCACCATGTCCCTCTCACTTTATGTAAGATAGGTATTTAAATTCCAAAATCATGTATGGAACTATTGACCACAACCTGGACAGCTTATTTGAATTTCCAGAGTGTTGGCTATATTAGTCCGTTGTAGAAAATCATGAAGAGTCTTATGGCACCTTAAAGGCAAACATATTTTATTTGACAGAAGTTCTCATAGAATGTTGTCCACTCTGCGCATCTGAAGAAGTAGGCTGCAATCCACAAAAGCTTATGCTAAGTAAAACTTTTTAGTCTTAAAGGTTCCATGAGACTCTTTGAAATTTATGTAGGCATTATGTACAGGTTGTAATTGCATACTGAAACACTTGCCTTTTTTCCTTTGAACAACAGCTCCCAAATGCTCAGTCCCAAACAATTTCTGAATTCTAGCAATTTGCTGTCTGTGTGTCTATTTAGAAAAAGTACACATAAAACATCTGGTGGGTAGGTATTTGAATCTACTTGCACTGGTTACTGGATTGTGGTAAATGCCTGTAGGGTTCTTTTTGCTATATGAATTTCCGAGGGGACAACCTTGTATCCTTCTATAACCCAATGTTCATTTTCTTAAAGTTAAAAAACAAAAACAAAATCTAAATATATATTGTAAAGTTCTGCAGCTTGGTATATTATTTATGCTTGCTTTGAAATCAGTACTTGGTGTGAATTGTTAACTAGTCTCCTCAGAGTACTTTTAAAAGAAGTTTTTCAATCTTACCATTTAAATCTACCTTTCTAAAAAAAAGCTTGCATTCTGATAACTGCCTATACTTAGTATAAAGACATTTTAGCTAGGAACATTATGTTACAGTTCAGCAAACAAATACAATTTGTATGAAAGCGGGTTTGAAAAAAAAGTTGGTAAGTTACAGATGTGGAATTTATTTACTATTTGTGTTAATAATCGAACATTGTTGTAGTCAATGTCACTTTAGATATGGGCTTATAATGGGCCTAAACACACTTCCTTTTTTAAAAAAATAGTTCCACATATCTCTAAGAACATAATGATCTTGAACTCTTGTCTTTCCTAAGCTGACCTTGAAATGGACATTGCCAAACACTTGCCATATGCTCAAATGACACATGGACAGAGATGAAAGAGGTAACATGGAAAAAACAGAAACATTTGTTCACGCAATTCTTATTTAAAATCAGGATTAGGGTCCACTAACACTGAGATTTTACACGTCATAGTTCTGAAATGCTTAAGAGTACTCTATAAATTAATGTGTAACTACATAGTACATTTTTTTTACATTGGTAGCAATATTTAAATAAAAGAACAGTAGGAACTATAATTATTAGGATTTTTATCACTGAATGCAGAATTCCTTAGACTAAAGTACTTCTTTTCTCTTTCTAAACCACAGATGGGCAACTTGAGACCCTCCATATGTTGTTGGCCTGACACACTTATCATCCATCACCATTGGCTATGTTGGATAGAGTTGATGGGACTTGCAATCCAACAGTATCTGAAGAGTCACAAGTTGTTGCCTCTGTTCTAAATACAGATGGAAGACAACTTGCCATCAATCATTAAGACAAACAGACTGAAACTTGATCCAGACAAGACAGAGGTGATCCTGGCCAATCCAAAACCCAGTCAGGGAACTGGAATTCAACTTCTGCAGGAGAGGGTTGTGTTTCTTCTGACAACTCAGGCTCACAGCTTGGGTGTACTCCTGGACAAACCCGTAAGCCTGGCTGTTCAGATCTTGGAGGTGTCCAGGAGCACATCTGCACGGTTAAAGCTAGTGTGCCAGCTGCACCCATTCCTGGAGATGTCTCAGCCAATCACTATTTGGAAAGGAAGCAATCAACCAGAGATAAGTAGGAGATTTGAAAGATTGGAGATGACAGGAGCATATTCAGATTTGGCTCTTTTGTGGAAGAGATTAGATGGAATTGGGCAGGTAGGAGTAAACCTGCATTTCCTAAGGGTGAGGAAAAAGAACCAGAAGCTGGCCAGATATGCTTTAGAAATTAAAGGAAAAGCTATTTGTTCATTCTGGAAAGAACCATATTTTAGTGAGCAGTCCATTGGAAGAAAGCCTGGGTTGGGGAGAATAGATACCGAACCACCTGAAAACTGGTCTTTTCAGCTGTCATACCTCTTGTGTATAAAGTTCTGTGCCTTGAAACTGAGCAACCACAAAGCTGAGTGATTTGAAATGAAACTACCTTTTCAAATTTCAACTATTGCCTTAGCATACGTTTTGCCCCTCTCCCCCTACAAGGAATATTCAGTTCAGAGAACCCCAAGGATTTAAAGGTTATCAAACTTAAACATTACCAGTGACAGTGATACTAATATTAACACTAATAATTGAGATGTCTTATCTGGCTACAGTGACGCATGCTTTAGTTACATCGTGTCTGAATTACCACAACATGCTCTGTACGAGGCTGCCTTTGAAAAATGTTTGGACATTTCAGTTAGTTCAGAATGATGCAGTGAAGGACGCTGACTGGCACTAGAGCTAGAAGGAGCGTAAAACCTCCTAATTGTAACAATTCACTGACTACCAGTCTGTTTCCAAGCCCAATTCCAAGTGCTAATTATGACCTCTAAAGCCCTATATACTGTTTGGGTTCTGGCTATCTGAAGGACCATATTACCTTTTTCAGCTTTTAAGATCTTCCTGGGAGACCTTTCCCTCAGTTCTGCCATCCTATTTGGTGAGGGTGCAAGAAGGCTTTTCAGTGGCTGCTTCCAGGCTGTGGAATGTACCCACTGAAAAGCCAGCTCAAACCTCTCCTTCTTGCCCTTCCATCATCAGACAAAGATCTTCCTTTTCAGGCAGGCTTTCAAATAAATAAGTAGAGGGTTTAGGAATACAGTGGTTATTGAATTTAGAAATTTTTAAAATGTTTTAAAAATGCTTTGGAATTGTTTTTCATGGTGGTTTTAATATTGTTAGATGTTTAATTGCTTTTAGTATAGTTTCGTAAGGTGATTTTAATAGTCACTACTATATAATTTTAACTGAACTGTGAGCCACCTTGAGTAGCCTATGGATAGAAATGCAGCATATATAAGTAAGTACACTCCTCCCTTCAACAATGTTGATATAAGGGGCGCTGGGCCCCCATGTAGTTCATATGCCCCTCCCCAAAATGTAGCCACAAAGCATAAACACTTGATTAATACAGACCACACACATATAGACACACATAGAGCTGGCATGCCAGGAGAGGGAGCTGGCCAGGCCACTGCCGTCAGACTGGGGGCTGCTGAACCAACAACAACATGGGTCCCTGTAAGTCTGAGACCCAGACCCACCTTTCTCAGGCCATTTCTTGGAGACGAACAGCAGCACGATATTTATTTATTTATTTACTTTAAAAAAATCTGTGTATAACCAAAACCATGCTGCTCAAATCTATATAATTCAAAGGAGACGTACAAGGACACACACACACACACACACTCACACACACACACACACACACAGAGAGAGAGAGAGAGAGAGAGAGAGAGAGAGAGAGAGAGAGAGAGAGAGAGATGGTCAGGTAGCCTTCCCCCAACTTGAGAACCATTGCCTCTGTGAGTTAGTGTGGCAGAATTATTTAAAAACAGAACCTCCCATTAGAATTAATTTTAACAACAACTTTCTGTAGACCCTAACGATAAAGGTACCATGGCTTCTACAGGATAGCTCTGCGAACGATACTATGCAAATAGGGTGGAAAAGGTTATATCTTTTCTGTGTGTATATTTTAAAAAGTGTCCCAAGGGGTTCTGATTTTGGTCTGTCAATGAAACAAACACCTCCCCAACATTTTTCAAAATAGTGGTGGTGTGCGTATGTGTAGAAAGAGAGAAAGCTGCAAAAACTGCATTTGTACCTCTGTGGGGCTTGGATCAGACTATCCCCCTCCCTTGTTACATGTATGGGAAATGACAGTGTAGCAATGGTACGAGGACATTTACTCTATTGTGTACTTCAGCGAGCAACTTGATGACCACAATTTAGTCACAGTGAAAAGTGAAACTGAAAACATTCCAAGATTTCTCAGATCCATTA